AGAAATATATAAGTATTTATAAATAATATATAAGTATTTATTAAAATTTAATAGTTTTTGATGATTACTTCCTATAGGATTTTTTACATATTTCTTTTGTATTACAGTCTACTTCATCTTATGATAAAGGAGATGAAAATATTGGATCTTCTATATTTTATGTTCCACCAGTATATAGTGATAAAGTTAAAATTCATGATTGGTTAGTACTGCAATCTATTTTTATTTATTAAAATAAACCTAATAATACAACAAATATTCAATTTATAATTAATTATATTTCATAATTAAAACATCTGTTAATACTTTAGAGATAATATATGACAAATACTTTTTTTATCTACTTTTAATTAGGTTATATTTAACTGAAATTTTATTTAAGATTTAAAAGATATTTAATCTTAAACAATATAAATGTTATATAACAATATAAATAAACAATAACATTATTTAATGTTTATTACAAAATGTTTTTGATTTGTTTTATAGATTTTTCTTATATTTTTTCTTATATTACAAGTTTTCTTAACTCTTTCTTATATAAAAATCTTTCTAATTAAATTCTAATTAATTCTCTAAAGGATCCATTTATTTCTGTAAGAAAAAACTTTTACGTGCAAGAATTCATTTTTTTTTACTGAAATCTTTTACAATGAAATAATTTTTTAAATAATGATATGCTTATTATTTACATGGATAAATTATGATACAATTGTATATGATCAAACTTATTTACATACATATTTATACATGTATAAGGAAACGTGGGGGAGTAGTTACCGTGGAGAAAACCGTATGTTGTTAATCATAGCAACGTAGTACTTTATTTCACACCTTTCAAGAATATTCACGTTTTTGTGTATTGTTATTTGACACAGAGAGTGCAAGTAATTATGTAATACAATATTTTAATCAGCGATAATAACTATTATTTTAAAAATATTACTTTGCATCAAGATAAATCTTTATTGTTTTCAGAAAAAATAGAAAAGTGAGTATATGTACATATAATATATGCAATGTATACAATATGTACATATATATTTTTGTACTGTCATCAATTCTAATTAAGAATAAAATGATAATTATTTCCATAATAAGAAATGTTGTTTTTTTTAAATACTTTTAGTTTTTATCTTTAATTCATTATTTATATATTAAATTGTATAGGGAAGTATTATTTAAATTTTTTAGAAATACGACAAAATGATATTATAATTTATATATCAAATATTTAATATTTAAGTAAATTTAATTTAAATAATATAAAAAATTGCATTTAAATGAAACTCAAATTTCTCAATGTTTTCTACTTGAACTAATTAAGGCAAATGAAAACTTTATCGGAGCCTAAAGATAACGTGGTATTTCCACCGGATGGGAATCTTCACATATCCTCATATCGAAGACTTGGTCCGGAAGACGAAGTTACTGGAATTTCAGAGACATCTGCTATGTTATCGCAAATTAAATTAAAAGACGAATATAAACCGATTGCTTGTCCACGACGTAGTTTACTCACAATGCAATCGCTTGCTTCAGCAGAGTATGTATTCCTTATATTTATATTTTAAAAAATATCCTAGATAAATTATATACAGATACATATATTTAAAAAATTTATTTTATCACAATAAAACTTTCATCTTTGATAATTAATCTAAAATTTTCCATTATTTTTTTATCTTTTTGATATAAAGAATAAAACATTGTAAAAACTCTTTCTCTTTATAATGTAATTTTGTAATATAATTTAATATAAATTATAATTTACTATCAATGTATTTAATATTACTTATATTACTAATATTAATTATAAGATTATTACTATACAATTATAAGTTATGAAAATTTAAAAATTAATAAAATAATTTTTCACGCAATACACAAAATATATTTATTTTAAAAGAATTAAGAATAATTATATTTTTAGCTAATTTTTAACTAGCACAACTAATTTCTTTCATCAAGTTTTAATATACGTACTCATAATCATTTTTTAAGGAAGGATTACGAAGACAAAATATTAAAATTGACAGACATTCTTTTGGATCCTATGGTCAGTTGTCAGACGTATTATCACACCACTACGAGCAGTGATTATCGGTTGCCTTATCCTCTGAAACCAAAACCACCACCATCACCACCACTACCTGAGCCGTGGTTATTAAATCGTCGTACTATTGGTTATAATCTTCATGATTTGGAAAATCGTTGCGGATACCATACATTTTTAGATGATAATATGGATCTTCATCAAAGAATAGCAGAATTGAAAATGCAAAGAAGGCAATTGTATGAAGTTTTAACAAATAGTAAACACCAACAAAAATCTATTAATGATTAAAAAATTTCATATAAAAATATATAAAAACTTTTGACTTATGAAATAGATTTATACAAGCACTAAAATTAAAAAAAATTATTTATTACAAAATTATTTAAAGTGTTAGATAAATCTAATTTAGAATATTTTTAATAAATTAAGGATAATGAAAATAATATGCAGAATAAATGTAATAATTATCCCTTTATTTATTTTAATAAAATACGTAAGAACTAACAGAACATTTTTTTGGCGAGTAAGAGCTGATTTTATTTTCGCACTTCATCATATATCAGTTCCAGTATATTTTAATACACAAAAGAAGTTGAATCAGTTAAAATTAGTGGTTTTTTAAAAATAATGTCTATTTCATTTTTTCCAAGACAGAACATTATAAAATTTTATCTTCACAATTAATAAAAGCATCATTGTGTTGTAATATATATATTTAAAAAAAATATAATAGAATAATAAAATTATAAATTCGAGATAATGAAAAAATGCCAGTATATTTTTGGAAAGCGTAGATTAAATTCACGGTATGAAGATCAAAGATGAAAAAACTGGAGAAGGTAGAATAACGTGACACGATCGTAATAGCTGCAATGTAAAATATATTCTATCTACATCTAGCACACGAGTGTGAACGATCACTATTTACGATGTAGAGAAACCCAACATGATGGTGTTTACTCGATATTTCTGCCAAGTCGCGAATGCCCATATTCCTCGTCGTCCCCGTTGAACCGCTTGCCGAATCTCATATGACCATAATCGTCCAGCTGTTGGCGCTTGCTGAGTCGCAGATTATCCTCGTCCTCACCGACGAGATCCTCTACAAGATCCTTCACCAGGCCTTCTACAGCGTACCTGCAACAAAGCACGCGATATATAACCAGAATATCATGCTTATTTTTAACAATTCTTTAACGTATGCTAAGTTTACACCGACGTGTATATCTCTTTTATCGTTTAATTCTCCAGTTTGATTTGTAAGTATACTCGTTTATTAGGTTAAGAGATCTAATAACTGTAGTGATTTTGTTATTCATAGCGACAAGTATGGAAAATCGATAACCTTTTTATTTCACAAAACATAAAAACAATCTACATATATACATATATTTAAGCCCGCACTTGAGAGAAATGATTTTGTTATAGGAACAAATTAAGGGAAAGCAAATGTAATATTATATTTGTTAAAAAAATGATCGATTTGTTACGATTGCAAATTAATCGTCAATGTAACAAATAATCAATAATATTGCTAACAAATAAGAGGCTCATACATATATACAGGGTGTCCCGCTAGACTTCTTCAATCGTCCACAGGAAGGTAGATGGGATTGAAATAAACATAAAAGTCCTTTACCGTTTAGCAGTATTCGTAATAATAATCGAGATATTAATGTTTGCAATTGTACTAATGAGAGCGTGCCAATAGAAATGGCCGCTCGAGTATAAGCCTTTTTCAAACATAGGCTGCGCCGGCAGCGCGTTGGAAAAGTAAGAGAGAAAGTTTTATGTTTTCGATCCCATCTACCTTCCTGTGGGTGATTGAAGAAGTCTTGCGGGACACCCTGTATATATGCATGTATGTATATATATATATATATATAATATAAAAGTCGTAGACGGTTGCAAGATCTCAAATTGACTAATTCTAGTCAAGTATTCTCCCTATATTAGACTGTGCTTGGTCAGTTACCTACGACTTAAGACTCTACGATCATTTATGAATGTAAACGAGCTTAAAGTTTATCCAAAGGATAGATTAGATTCTATATAATTTGCTTCTGTTATTAATAATTGGTTGGTGTAGCAGACTAGCTGCAATTACAACAACAAAATTTGTTGTCATTTATTTACCGATCACCGGTTAAAGGTACTGGTGGTTTGTTAAATTAACAAAATCCTTTCTTGATGCGGTCACGATCGCTGGAAAGGATGATGGGCTTTTCAAAATGTAGGTTTTGATTTTTTTTTACTGAAAACGTCAAGGTTGAATGTTATTGCAATCAATAGTTAATACTCTTATTCCAAGACAGGCGGACTCCCATACTTATCGCTATAAGTAATAAAATTGCTACAGTGATCTCTTGGTCTATATAATACAGCAATTACCCGCGAATATATGGATGCTTTCCTAAATTGCGATGGATGCCAGTGATTAATCCAGGGGCTGCTTTACATCTTCCGCAGAACAACCACATGATCGCGATCATACAGGACAGTGCAAGAGTTAGATTCATGTCTGTAATCATATAATTATTATTTTTTTTATTTTATTGCAAATTGTTGTCAAAGATATAAATAGATTGTTAATCACGAAATATATTTATTTTCTGTAATAGCAATAATCAATAACTAATAATTAATTGCATTGTATTCTTTACTTTTTTTTACCTCTCTTTGAATTAAATTCATAAAACTAAAATCAATATTCTCTATAAGTGCTACAAGTCGAATTATATAGTTTCTATCTTTTAGAATCTATTAATTTTAATTAGTTTACTTAAGTAATAATTATAGATCTACCAACTTTAAGAATAATACTAATCACAGAATTTTAGAAACAAATATATAAAATAAGGCTAAAAAAAATTTATCAGTAAAAGATATAAAAAAACCCACCAGAGAGCCTACATCAGCTGTTCGGATGCACCGAAATCATAATACATTGCATCAATAGGTAGAATTACATCGCTCATCAAATTGTCAGATTTGATGTAAGAGTTTCTCGCGGCTCGACGTAAAGGTCTTGCGGTGTCGACAGTCAGAGATGAAAAAATAACTTCGGTTTTACTTTATCTAATTTGGCACTTGTATAAAGAAGAACGAGCTAAATTGGCGGGAATCACCATCTTGGAATTTGCGTTATTTATGTAATTTCGATTTATATTTTATATTGATAAGGACCTGAATTGAAGCATCAAAATGTTTATTTTATTCGTTTTGTTACATTCATACGAAAATAAACAGTTTTCTGCATCTGAACAGCTAATGTAGGCTCTGATGGGTTTTTTTATATTTTTCATTGAGAATTTTATAAATGTCACTCCTTTATTTTAAAAGTGACATAATGACTTAAAAAATGTGATTTTTTATTTATTATTATAAATGATTTAAATATCTAAGCATCACTGTATCACGAGAAAGAATATTCGTCTTAGCTTTACTACCAATCGAGGAAGATGTCTTAATTGATTTAAATTTGGCCGAAATTTATGTCGGTTAAAGTTCGAAGAGGTGTTTGTTTGTAAATGCATGCGAATAAAATGTTGTTAAAAAGCTTTGACTTTTACTCATACAGCATAGAAGCTTGCAGAAACATTGCTGTAATGTTTGCAATATTACAACAATATTGCTGGAACGTTGTAATGTTGCAAAAAAGACCTGTGCTGTATAGTCTTTGTCTTTCAATTGTCTTGAATTAATAATAGTATTATCCGAGCTCTCTCAATTTTGTCCTTGTACATAGTCTGCCTTGTTTTTTAGTTTCACATGACTATATTCCTTGATATCAGGAAATAAAAAAAACAAACAAAAGTAAAGAAAATAGAGAAAAGTTTGATAATGTTGTTAATTTTTTAAATGCAGATAATATCTGTATATTAACGATCGATTGGATTATAATGAACGTAAGATAACGGAAATCACTCGGTGAATTTGTCTGCGTATATAACTTGTAAGAACTTGCGAATGTGTAAGGAGATAGTGTTTCCAAAATCATCCTTATATTCGCTTACCTGCGTATACTGGATGCCGGAGTGATCGGCGATGGAGTGTACAAAAAGCACAGTGGTGGCTTTTTATATCGCAACCGTCTTCATTCCCCTTCCTGGAGCTGAAAAAATTGCGCGGGGGTGAAATCGCGTGCGGGATGGTGTTGAATTTTAATTTACCACCGCAAGTACCGATAAACAATTTTCTTCCGTCTTTCTGTGAACCATTTCTGCCACCAATCACTTCAATATTCCACGATGTTACGCGATGATTGGCAGGGCACTGGCTAAATGTATTACCGACGTCATGTCCTGACTTTTTTATATTCCCTCTGTGAAAAACTCATAAGAAAACTCAGACATTAAAATCCTCTGGGATGGCAATGTGGGTAGCGACCGTTGATAAATAATAACATGAACAAGCGTACTTATCTATCAGCTGCGAGTTATTTTCATATAGCTTCTCTCGATTGTCCAATTAAAAAGTAAATATACTGACGAGAACAATAAATGTAAATGTATAAGATACAGTATTACGTAAGATAAAATATTTTAATATAGGAGTTTTAATTATCGTTTTAATAAACAATTTGAAACATTTAATTTAATAAAATGATATTAAATAAAAATTTATTTAAAAATTCGCTTCAATCGCATTATTTTCTAATTACAGATTTATTCATAGATCTTCAAGAAATATATTACAATGTACATATGTATAACGTAGCGCGCTGAGCTAGACATTAAAATTTTATAAAGGTAAAGTTTCCTAAAAAATACAACAAAAATGAAAGAACAATATTAAACAAGGTATCTTTTAAAATCATAATGCGAATACATAACTATTCAGGAAATGAAAGCCCAAAACAGTCAAGTAGTGCTTAAATAATGCGGTGGGAATTTTATACGCGTAAATCCAATTCTGCAAACTACGTGCCAAATTTAATTTCCAGTCTTGAGTCGCAATATTAACAGAACTACAATAGTAATATCAGTAATATATCACAACTTATTAGATCGACAAATTGCAATTTAATAATGTTAATACTTATGGATAAACATCTTAGAAAGATATTAATAATCTGATACTAATAAGCATCTAAAAACTAGTAAAATAATTTGATTACAAAAAATATTAATATAAATTAAAGAATATGTGTTTTATTTATTTATTTGCTATTTTTATAAGCTATATTTATAAAAAGTCTTTGTGTAACCGTTTCCCTAATAAAATTTATTATTAAATGTTTAGAATTGTATGGTTAAATGCATTTTATGTTTATTTAACAAATAAATAAACGTAACATGAATTTAATATAGGTGTAATCTTTAAGCTATGAGAAACTAATCAATTACAGTTGAGTGTGAGAATAACAATCTATATATATGATTAGTCAATTTCTTACATTAAATTTAGTACCACTAATGAACAATTAAATGTGAAATAATTATTCGTTTACTGAAATAATTATGTATTTATCAGTGAAATGTAAAAAAGCCCATAGGAACCTACATCAGCTGTTCAGATGCACAGAAAATTCTTTATTTTCGTGTGAATGTAATGTTTAACAATATTATTTTGATTCTCATTATATCTCTGATTGTCGACACCACAAGACCTTTACGTCGAGTCGCGAGAAAACACTTACATATAAGTTGATATAATTAAAATTTAGGCAAATGATTTTTAAAAATTCTCTAATTTTTCGTTTTCGTGTTTCTTTTGAATTTGCTACACAGCAAATCTGACAATCTGATGAGCGATGTGATTCTACTTAGTGACGCAATGTATGGCTTCGGTTGTACTTTATGTAAGTTTTTATATTATGTTAATATTTTGATATAAGTTAATATTTTCATAATAATCATTGGGCTATTCATTACATAGCTAATTTGGCATTTAGATAACGAAGAACGAACTAAATTGTCGGGAATCATCAATCTGGAATTTGCATTATTTATGTAATGTTATTTCTGTTTATAGTTTATATTAAGATATATAAGGATCTGAATTGAAGGATTGAAACTTTTATTTCATTCGTATTATTACATTTACACGAAGATAAAGAATTTTCTGTGCATCTGAACAGCTGATGTAGGCTCCGATGCGCTTTTTTACATTTTACTAATAGATTCTTTCGAGCCTTATTTTATATAATTATGTATTTATTTCCGATCAATTTTACTATAGCATTTTTATATGCGCCCAGAATTTTAAATGTCCAGGGTTTTTGGCTTGTTAGTTCTAGTTTTGAAAATTTTGATATGCCTTTTCAGATGATGTTTTGTTCTAAGGATATTTCAAGTCATTTTTCGAATGAAGTGTGCTATATGGAAATTCTCTAAATAAATGATAAAAACTTTTGTTTTATTTTTCATAATTTAAAACTGAATTTAATCCTACTTTTTGCATTTTCAATTGTGATTAATCGTATTCGTATTATATTCTATTTTTATCCCATATAAATTAAAATATTTATTGCTAAAATAAAAAAATAAAATATAAATAATATTAATCTATTTATTTTTGCAAAGGTATTTTGTATTGAGATGGTTTATCTTGACATAATTTTTTGTAATGTGTTTCTAATTGATGGAAACTAACGCGGAAACTAAAAACATGGCACTATTATGCGAGGTCATGGCCACAATCATCAATGGCTTCCGCATTTAAAGTGCTTCTTGCGAGACTTATAAATCAATTCCACCAGGCTGAATCACTTTTACAGTTGTGAACTTTCTCTACAGTCTCTATCTTGTCTGATCATTAGTTTGTATTATTATGAAACTTCACAAATAATCATCACATAACTCTTGGAATTCTCGTCTTCGTTTGCAATATCAAAATGACAACCATAACGGAGAACAGGGACATTAAAAAAAATCTGTCGGAATGGTGGAGCGAAGAAACTGAATATATTTTCCAGAGGATTGAGAGATGGGCGGCCTTTGCACGTGGTTACAATCGTTTTCGATCGCAGAGGTGAGAGAAAGAGAGAGGGGGGAGAGAGGGAGAGAGAGAGAGAGAGAGAGATGTCTCCGATAATATTTATTATTTAAAAAATCTAAAGATTACGTATAATAATAACAACTAGATACGAATCTAGTCTATAGGATCTAATTTAATACGTATAAAAAAGTGATGTTTTTAATATGAACAAAATTAAATCAGGTGGTTCGAGAATCAGCAAATGATGCAAGATAATTGGAATATGTCTTCCAACGAAACTCCGATAAAATTTCACAGTCTCAAACAATCCAGATGGAAATTGTCTCCAGAGGAGATTAAGATAAACTGCTGCGGTACTTTCAATTATCAATCAAACAGTCAGCTGGACAGCAATTGCTTAAAAATGCACCAGTATGACCATAGCATCTACTTCAAGACTATCGGCGATATTAAAAGTGACAAGAAACACCAAATTCAGAATCAAGACGGTGCATCTATTAATATCGAAGAGTAAATTGAGAGGGATGCAACTAACTCGCTCATTGAATCAATTTCTAATAAGTTATTCTCCAAAAAGATCAATAATGTTTTAGATATTGTTGCTGAACAGAACAGAATGTAACCAATTGTACATCTATTTTTATCCGAATTTAATAGATTATCGAAGAAGAGATAAGTGCTCTCTCGTTTAGCTGAAGATAATCATGAAGAGATAGGAGGCACAACAATAAGATATTTTTAAATAATTTAGAAGATAAAATGGATATGGAAGATCAAGAAGTTGATTTAAAGAATCAGGAAAAAAGCACGTTCAAGTCGTTCCGAAAAATTAACGATCTTTGAGGAATCTATAGTGATCATCAATTGTCGGTGAAAACAACGTTATTTGGAATTTCTTTTAAACTACACCAACAACTTCAATAAATGTAGTCACCAATTCTTTAAAAGATTAACAAAGGCAAAGCCATTAAGCGGAAAAATTTGCGCATAAACGCGTAAGAGTTTTGACTAATGAATCGTCTAATTTTTAAAAATAAATCATAACTTACATTTGGTTTTATCAATCAAAATACATATGCGCTCAATTCTTTTTCTTTATGTTTCTATTATTTTTATTAACATGCACAAAATTTTATATCTTTTTGAATATTTTGTTTTAATCATTTTTGTGTTTTATCTGACATTTTTTGAGAGAAAGAATGTATTAGGTACAAATATCTTCAAAAATTTTTGGATTCTTAGAGCAAGAAAATAGAATAATGAAATAAAATAGAATATTTCAAATTCCAATAAAAAATAAAATATTTAAAAATGAATTTTTTAATTTCTGATAAAATTGTGTTACGAGTTTTTTAAAATAAAATTGTTGAATATCGAAAATGATGTCTAAGAATGACAAATCTAAATATGGCGCACTTAAAGAATAAAATGTTATCAATAACGAAAGAATTTATTAAAACATTCGTAGGGTTGCAAAATATGGATGTATTTAACTTGTAAATATAATAAAATATATATTGATATAAACAATAAAATTAAAGTTTTCGATAATTTGCATGATATCCACAATATATTATAAATAAATAATCGATAGTGATTAAAATTTATGTACCAGAGATTTTAATGTTTTAAACATGTTTATAAATATATGTAATATAGAGTGTCCCACAGATTTTTGCGTACAAACTTTAAAAGTAAATTAGTTTAGCTGCTCAATGAGTTAAAAATATATGTAATTATATATAAATACATGTTTTAAAATGCTTTATTAAGAAGTTGTAATAAAAATATGAAATGTGTAAAAAAAATTTATGTAAATTTATATTTCGAATGTAATTCGCCCATGTTAATACAAGCTGGACATGTAATTTTAAATTTGACATCTTCTTTGCAAGAATAGAGGAAATCTTCATATGCAAAATACGCTAAACTCTCTTACACTAAAACTCAACTATTTATATTTTACCATAAACAATGTTTTGACGCCAAAAAACAATGAATTTTAAATTTTAGTGGCTATTACTCCTTCCCATGCTATCCATAGTACGGAAGGAATTATTCGTGCTATTTCGAGATTTTCTATTACGATTTCAATG